TTAATTTATTTTCAGCTTTTCTTGACCACGTCCCTTTAATGTGGAACAGAAAGTTTATTACTTGTTATCTCTTACAACTCGATAAGCTTCTCTCAAAGAACTGGTGAAAGACTTGACCTCACAACGCATTTAAGGTTTCAATCATCACCTCAAAGGAAAAGCAAACCTTCAGCACCTCCCTGAACAATGCTCTTATAAGCCACATCACTGAATATATCACTGAAGCCTGATATTGTGTTGCTTGCACAATTTTCTCAAAAGGAGAATGATAAATTGCAGATACACCAGGATACTCCAAGCACACTAACTTTACCTTTGTTGTCCATACTAAGCTTTAAATTCTCTCATTAAGGCCAGGTATCTTTCCAAAAATCTCACATCTATACAACGTGATGTGCAGTGGGGCTCAGGTAGTTTGTGTAAATGTGCTGCCTTAGCCAGGAAATATGGATTATAACCCCTTCCTTGCAGCAGTGCACCCCGCAGATTCCCCATTCAACCGCTTTCTGTCCTTCAACAAACCAGTTCTTGCCCAAACTCATCTCCATCCCTCTTAGCTTGATAATACACTCACTATTCAAAGAAAAATGCTTTCAAGCAAAAACTTTCATAGCTGCATGTCTAGAGAAAGATTCCCAGATCTATATTTAGCCACTTGATTTTCAAAGGTACTTAATACACACAGATTCCACTGACACCAATGGACAGTGTAGCTGCTAAACACTTCTGATATCAGGACATTTTTGTTTGTTTTGTTTTGTTTGTTGAAAAAACAAAATTTTGCAGATTCTGAGGAATCTGAGCTGTCACTTTATGCCATTCCCTCCTCATCTTTTCAAAGGCTTGTCCTGTGCTCTCATGTAACTCCAACAGTTTTCTTAGCTCAGATTCCTGGCAGCCTACAGCTGCTCAAGAGGGGACCAAAGGGGCAGCACTGAGCTCTGTTGACAGCAACAGAACCCAAGGGAATGACATTGAGCTGTGCTGGGGAGGGTCAGGTTGGCAGTAGGAAAAGATTCTTCACCAGAGTGATGTGATAGGCTGCCCAGGGCAGTGGTCATGGCCCTGAGCTGCCAGAGATCAAGCATTTGGACAACACTCTCAGGGTTCGAATTCTGGGTGGTCCTGTGTGGAGCCAGGAGTTGGACTTAAATCCCTGTGGGTCCCCTTCCAACTTGAGATTTTCCATGATTCTATACCTAGGGAGCAGAAAACCAGCAGCAGTTCAAAGACGTGGGGCAATGGATTTCCACACAGTTGAAGAGGTCCTCAATACCACCATCTTTGAAAATCTGTGCTTTTAGGGCAGAGTGGGGAACACAACACTTCTACACTCTCTAACCATTGTTTCTAAGACCGCAAAACATCGCTTGAGAACCAAGAGCAATTGCCGTCCCTTCTCAGCCTCCATGGAAGTACACATACCAACTAGAACAGCAGATGTGAATTATACTATGACAATGCTGGTGGGTGAACAGAAAAATGTGCCATGTGTTTTGTCCAGCATTCTAAATGCCCACACCACTCACATTTAGGTTTGTGACAGCTGTCTCCTGAGCATGCTGACACCAATCCTGTCACCAAATGGCTCCATTTTACAGCTGGAGTGAAACACCGCCAGAGAAGGCACTGTGCTCTCCCACCAGGCAATTAAAGTCTCAAAGAGATTTTAAAAGTCGAGCTGGACTTTGGATTGGTGGAAAAGTAATGAAGATAAAGGAAGATTCAGGGAAATGTGCTAACAGAAACCCTTGTACAGAATTGATGGCACATTACCTTGTCTCCCTTCCTTGTTAGTGAGTGGCTCAGAGGCAGAAGGCATGTGCCAGCAGTTGAGAAGGGGACACAAAACCCACCCTGAGGCATGATGAATGCACATACCTGCGGCTCACAACTGGAAAGAACAATCTTTCAACAGCGTTAGGAGGCTGATATTCTCCAAGATGCTTTTTCAGAAAAATCCATGCCAACTGATTGTTAAGAAAATGCAGCACTGTCTATTATTCACTGATGCACCTGTGGTGCCACAAATTCTTCATGTGGCAATGACATCACTGATCTTGAAATCAAACTATTTAAGCGAGTACTAGGATTTTTCTCTCATTTACAAGTAATATTAAATGAAATGTCATGGCTCTTTTGAAAAATAGAAAAGGCTGTAAAGATAATGAAGTACAACGGCTTTTACTCTTAAAAAACATCACACCACCTAAGAAATACAGTCTACCAAAAGGATGTTCAGATAAAGTATGTCTTTTCCTTTAATGCCCATATTGCATATGAAACACTGGAGCTTAGAGTCTACGCACATATTTATGCACAACCACCAGCTTCTCTTGCAGAAACCTGCTTTTGCTCACAATTTTACTCTGGTCTCTCTTAAGGTCAAATATACTTTACTAAATGATTAATTGGAAACAAGGGATGCTACCTTTCAAAACAAAACTGCTGCATAGCTTAAGTCAACAAAACAATGAAGCTTTTGCTTATCACACAACTATTGTAAAAAAAGAAAAAAAGTAACTCTAGAGGTCAAGATAGTAGTGTAGCATACAGAGAAAATTATTACAGCCTTCCAGTAGATGTTTCTGCCTGAGATGAGTTACCAGACATATCCTCAGATTAAACTTTCATCAGCACATCGCTTTATTTCATCAATCTTTCATTATGGCATTTCTTAGAAAATCATCTGGTCAGGTGTCATTAGAAAATCTTTTCATCTTCCACAGCAAAATCTATCCCTATTTTACTACAAGTAAAATGCAGTTCAAAATGAGAGCTGGGGGATCACTACAGGTTTCAGAAAGGTCAATATAGAGGAAAACATACATTTCTACAGTATTTTACAATTTTAAAACTTCTTTTCAGAACAAATCTAATTAAATTTTATTATATGGGCTCTTGGAATACAAAATGTTGCTAATTAACAACATTCATGAGCAGCATCTTCCAGAAGAATTTCATGACAGAAAGTAGGACTTTTTCAGCTTCCCAGAACAGTAATCCACAAAAAAAAACCCAGTGCTTTCCTGCTGATATTGCAGCACCCAAACAAGAAAAATTAGAGTTAAGAAGTGTTCAGATTCAATACAAATTGGCCTAATTCCTCTTCTGATGATGAAAATGCGAGAAAAGATTAGTTTATCTGTTCTACAGCTGTTTCACTGTTGATGTCCCAAATAAAATCTCTTGCATAAACAGTGGAGGAAACTTTCACATTTTATGACCAAGAGGCAGAACAGGTTTGATGGGGTTATTTTTTTATTTTTTTATTTTTTTTTAAGCTTGGATGTGTAATTCATATACATATTCCTTACAACCAGGACTTTATTCTTATTAAATAGGTGAGCCTCTACAGAAATCTCAGCAGAATTGGAATTTATTTTCAGTCTCCAGGTCCATTACAAAACTAGGCAGGGATGGGATCAGAGATGTTATTTACTTGTACATAGCTTTTCATCGGTGTTGGAGGATAACATGGCAAATCTGCAGGTCTGACCTCCACACAAAATGATGCCCACCAGCTCCTGTCCTACTGATGGGGCTTACATTCACATATTGGAGGCAAAAGACACATTTCTCTTAGATGCCCCCTTTCAGCATTGATATTTGTATGTCTAGTTCTGCCTTTAGAAGTAGGAATCCAACCAGGATAAATGTGACACATTATTTTACAGCCATAACAAAATGGTTTTCCAATTATTTTCAAAAGAAATCGAAGTATTTTGAAAGAGAACTGAAAATTCTTCAAAAATATTAATGAAAGCAAAGCTAACTTCCTAAGCTGCATCACATTCAGATGTTCCTTAAAATGCTCTTATTTCCTGACCAAAGCAAGCTGCTACAAAATCTGACTTGAAGGGAAATGTGCTCTCATTTTCTAAAGCAAACAAAGCACTGTAATGGTTTATTCATAAGAAGTAAAAAGCTCTTTACTTCCCACCATTTCAAACTGGATTTGCTCTTCCAGATCTCTCAAAAATCTGCACCAATGGAAGTGAAAAACAGTAAAATAAAGAAATAAATAATAAATGAACACACCCACACCAGTCATTTGTAGTAGTAATAAGTTTAGAAAGGCAAAATCAGGTCATAGAAACAATATCTTTCCTTTTAGAAATTTAACCAAAAATATAACCAAAAATCATCAGAAACTTTGTTTTGCCAAATCTTGTACTCAAAAAAAATTTCAGGGTTTAATTTTAGCCAAAATCAGAGACCGAAAATAGATACTTTCATACTGAGCATCCAAATAATCAAACATAGGCACAAAAAACATAAGTTCTTTATTGTGTCTAAATTCCTACTACTGGGAAGGAGCACTGTCTGAAGATTCTGGAATTGCTCTATGTGAATGGAAATATTTTTGATAGACAAAACACTCACTGGAATGGAGAAACAACTTGCCGTCCTGCTCTATATAAGCCACCTTCACAATCCTGCTCCTGCAGCCAGTGTTACATGGAAAGCAAGATTGTTTCCAAAAGACCAGTCAGGAATGAGAACTAGTGGAACACAGGTTCCAGTTCAGGAAAGCCTTGAAGCATGCATTTGGGATGGCTCCTTATGACAAGAGAATCAATCAAACTTTTCCTTTAGTCGAAGAAACAAACACATACATATGGAAAAATGAGGAGTCATGAGAAATATTGGGCCATTTTTGAAAACATAGTTCCATGTAAAAAAGTATTGCATACATAAATGAAGTAAAGTTGCACATGCAGTTTTATGCATACAGCTGAATTCATCTGAAATGCTTGTTCAACACAGGTTTAGCAAAACAGAATATCAGTGACAGACTACGAAAAGTAGAAATTGAAAAAAAAAGAAAAAAAAAAGCACAGGTAAGAAAAAGATGAATTTGCCCATCCTTTCATTACCTCTGAGTCACAATAGCTCAACAGGTTTGATACGCAACTTACTCCTGGCATATCTGTACTTGATATCAGCAAGTCACGAAAAGCACAAAATCAGTAGGAACAAAGAGAGTGCAGACTCACCGGCCGTTGTCACGACCCACTCCCCAAACTCTGATGCTCACTATGGGCTGTGAATGAAGAACTGTACGATCCATGGGGTCGATCAGGTTCAGCATGTCATTTTCCAATATCAGGTACATGTCTTTGCCCTACAACTCCAGAAAATGCACAGTTACAGAGCATGTCCTCCTCTCAAACTGATTAGTATTAAGGAGTTATGCCTACATTGTTAAGCCTTGCATCCTCTAAATTGATGCCAAGTTACATTTGTTCCAAAAGCAATTAAGAACACGTTTGCTCAGTTCCAATGTGAAAAAGACCTAACACAGCATTCTGCTACTGATGTATTTTTAAAAGATCCCAATCACAAAAAGCTAACTTTTAAATGCAACTGTTTGACTCATTTAAATGCAAGCTAGTGAGTTATTCAACAAATCATTTGTTTATCATATCTTCAATACATTCTTTCAAATATAGAAGAATCACGTTGCTAGTAAATGTTTGCATGAATCCCCATCCACACCTAGGGCAGAGCTCCCTCTCTTACACATACGTGCTTTGTTTCCATAAACTTTAGCCAATGGGCCATGGGAACAGACAGCTATTTGTATGCTGTCTTTTACTTATATTATACTCTTTACAGAAAGATCACTTAAAGAGGAAAACCTGGTAGTGAGGAATGAACAAAAATTCTGCCAGCAAGTGCAGAATCCTGGAGCCAGGGTTTCTCGCTAACTCTTCTGGTGCATAAGAACAAGGAGAATGCTTATTCCCATAGAGGAAACAAATTTAGAAGCAATTTTCCTTTTGATGCTAATTCACAAATGCTAATCTTCCTCCTATTGCTAGCATCTGCAAAAAGTCTGCTGCTTCTTTTGCCACATCTAATAGTTCTCTTCTCAGAGGCTGAAGACTGGAATCTCATGGAAATGATCCTGGACCCACATTTGAGACTTAAGACAAGCTCCTGCTGATAAAAATGAGGGAACTATGAGCTAAATATAGAGTAATTTGTTTCTCCTCTATTGTGCCAGAATCTATAAATGAACAGAAAGAATGGAAAAGCTCTGACTTCCCACTGACAAATGTTTCAGAAATGACCTTTTTCTTCACCTCAGTGACACAGAAACTCTCTCTCTGCCTGCTTACTGTGGTTCAAGTTTTAATGATGTGTGATTTTTGTGTTTTTACATGACATACATTGATGCCACCCTGACCTCAGGGATTCAAGGCCAGTTCAGGGAGAGGCAGACACTGCCCACTGATGGGGGGAAGGTGGTGAACCACAGGTGTTGAATCACAGGTGCCCAGCTTTTGCTTTCTGCCTCTCATGGGACTGATCACTTCTCCCAGCCCCAAGTCGCCTAATGATCATTCAAAGGGCACTGTGACACAGAGCTTGCAACACAAGTACTCAAGGGGTGCAGGAGGGAAAAGGGATGCAGGCTGGTATGCAGCCTGGTGCCTAGACAAAGATGTTGTTTAGCTGTAGTAACCATGTGTGTAAATGAGACAAAAACATGGGAAACAAAATAAGCTAGGATAACATAGGTGGATGGGAATGAAACCAAACAGAAAATAGAATAACCACAAAGAGAAAGAGCAAGAAATGTGCTTGGAAGTCAGAAGCAGTAAATGGTTTGTGCAAGGAATATTACCGAGCGTTAAAAAATTGCTTTTTGAACCCATTTTCTACTTATGTATTTATTCCAGAAGGAAATTATTACAAGGAGGTAAAATCTGTTCATCATGCAAAATACATTGGGATTACAGTAATAAAATGAAATCCAAATTAGCTGGAAAAGATTGGAAAATGGGCAGATAAGTAACATAAGTCAATTATTCTTGCAGCGCTCAAGGGATAGATTAGCTGCAGCCAGAAGCAATATATTTTGCTAAGTTTTGTTGCTTTACATACTGAAGCTATTTCATAGATGGAAATACCACACAAGGCATGAAGAAGTGTTTCAGACGTGGGGAGCTCGAACATGACCGTCTCAGATGGCTGAATAGCCGCAGAGACCTGAAGCTGCGTGCTGAGGATGGCTCTCACAGGAAGGATCAGGAAGGGAAAGTGAATATAGGAAAGACTCAGGTCCAACAGCTTTCAGGGAAGTGCTATGTATGGTGGTAAACAGGCCAATAGCAACAGTAAGTCTTGTTTATGTAAGTGACTTTATGAGGTAGGAGAATGTAATGCATGGCAAAGTAGCAGTACAAACAAATGAGCTTTTTTTTTTGTTTTTACATCATAGAGAACTGCGGAAGTTAGAAACTTACACAGATCTTCTTTCAAAGGTGACAGGAAATCTTACATTAAAGCCAATGACAAAGCTTCTGTAGGGTCAGAATTTTATTCAGGGTGATTTGCTATTCTATTTCTTGATTTTGTAATCATGAAAGCATGGGATGACCCTAGTCTCAATTTCACTTTCATTACATTCTAGCGAAAATAAATCTTGAGGCAATCTTAAAACCCCTATGTGCAGCTATCTGCCCTAGCTCTGTAATAGATTTCTGCTCTATGTGATGTGTCAATGATAACCACATGCTTTTCAGGTTCCTCTCTAAACTGTGCCTCTTCCAATCTTGAAATACTACCTTGTCAGCAGAAAAAAATGTTGTAATGATTTCTTTTAAAAATCAAGATGGCGATTTACTTCAGAGGCCACCAATTCAAGCACAGTGTCTCTACTGTTTCACTGTGCTAATGTTTACTTTTTAAATGAAAATTAAAAATAATTAATTAAAAATTCCTTTCAAGAGGACGCAACTTTTCACCAGTTTGGCTTGAAAACTAGCAAGAGTTTTGAATAAAGACCAGTGCAATTGATAGAGAAGAATATGGAAAAATGTGAGTATTAACTCTTAAACCAAAGTAAAACATGGCTTTGAGCTGATATATTTCAAGTTGATTAAAGTTCTGTCATCTGAAAAATGGATGGAATTACAAACTTGCAAAGAGAGTGGTAAAGAGAATTGAGCTCTCTGTTTTTTCCTCAGTTTGTGGGAATTTGACATCCATCTAGTTGAGGAACGCTGGTCAACGCTTTCAAGAGTTATTGGAGAGGAAACAACATAGAAATTAATGAAATTCATTTCCTTCTGAAAGACTGACACGTAATCATCTGAAAATAAGCCATCTGTCCATCATTCTCAATTTCATCAGACATGTTAGAAACACGGTCACAGCAGTCTGGGTTTCCTTAAAGCCCTTTTGTCACTGAGAAGCATGTGACAATGTTTTCCAGAGCAGCACTCTAAAACCTCTGTCCAGAAGGATTCCACTGGATTCAACAGTTTTGCTTGCGTGTCCACAACTCTGCTTTTACACAGATGTGTACTAGTGAAGATGTAAACATTAAAGGGATGTCTCTGGGGATACCTGTTGTCCTGAGCAGTTTGGAACAAACATGTCAGCACTGTCCTTGAACAGTTCCAACAGAGCTAACTGGGATAGGGAAATCTAAACACAGAATATGGAAATATTTGTCTTAAGAGTTGTTCTTTCAACTATTTTACAGCACAAGAAGCACATTCCAAGAATTGAAGTTCACATATTCTTACCTCTCCCCAAATGCCAACGGTGTCTCTGATGTCATTTTTACAGTAAGAGAGTTGTCTGATGCAATTGTTCACAGCAACACTACTTTTTCCAGGAGCAAGATCTTCTTCTGCCATTTCTACCCAGCCCAGAGAGCGCACAGCAAAGCACTAAAAAAGAAACAAAAAAAATCTGAATATGGATCATAGCACACAACACACTGACTGTTGTGACAAACACACACACAGAGGAATAATGGAAAAACTAGCCATAGATAGAGTACAAAGGAAAGTTAAGCTAGCATCTTGAGCTACTGGAGTATGTATGCTGTGAAAATCACTCACAGTATATCTCTACCTTGTAGATACATGTCTACAGCATACCTACATACACAGACAGTATATGTCTACCTTTTAAGCAGAAAATTATTTTTTTGTAGATTACAACAATCATTTTTATAGTAACCTTAAGTAAGGTAGTTGACAGTAAACAATTCAAAGTCCTAACAAAACAATAAAATATCTTAACGAAAAGGCAGGAGGCTTTTTTCCAGAAGAAATTAAAAATGACCTTCAACACAAAACTAATTATATAGTTCTTTAAGCAGAAGGGTGTTTAGACAACCAGAGCACTGAGTTGGCAGAACAATCCAAGGCAGTATTACTTTGCACATACGGTGCTTTTTGCAAGCAAAACAGAGTGGGAGAAATTCAATGGCACTATCTTTACCCTACTGGGGTTTACTGAAGTAAAGAATAAAAAAAAATAATTTTTAAAAAACAGGCACAAACCAAACCACATTTGCTCTCAAGGTTTTACAGTGGGTTAAATACAGGCTTAATGCTAAATCAGTGGGAGCTTGTGTAAGAGACCAAGATTTGACCCAGAGAACACTGTGAGTACCTCATTCTCAAGCTGCCATGCACTGCCAGCAAAAGATGCACAACAGATGTACCTTCCTAACAGGTATGCCACACTTCTGTGATGGTCCCTAAAAAGTTCATCAATAATAGTTCCTGAGCCAATAACCAATTTCTGCTACTTTCTAGGTATTATTATATGGCAGCAGACCAAATCTCATCCCATCTTTTCATTCCAGTTTTGCTGGAGTAACAAAAAGAAGCTTTTTAATTGAGTTAGTGAAGGGGTGGTGTCCCATGCTGACATGAAGCTGCACTCCCTGAATTCAAACCATGATGCTGCTCTGTGGAGGTGCAGGATTTTGGGGCATATATTATAAAAGCAGAACTGAGACAATTTGGAATTATCACTGAAAATCTGCTGTAGTGTATCTGTTTTTTCATCCTCTGCCTCTCCTTTTCAGAGAGGACCAAGGTTTGAACTTCAGTAGCACTGAGCCCTTGGTACTCTGCTTTGACGTGTTTCTTCTGATATGTAACAGTGTCCTTAAATCCTATGTTGTTCTGGCAAACTAACTCGCAACTGTTTCAGGAAATCTGATTCCCTGTTAGGTCTGGGCACAGTGCTGACCCTGTGATAGCAGAGGCCAGCACTCAGTGCCCAGTGCTGCTCAGAGACACAGTAAAGAAATCAGCATGTGGTGCTAAAGTAGATGCTGAATGTTCATTTGTTTTCCCCTAAAAAGTGCTGAGAGGTCAGCACGCAGCCTGCCTCCTGCACCCCTGGAACTGCTCCGAGCACATACAGCAATGCATCTCAACTAAGGCAGCAGCCAACAAAAACCCAAGCTCCCATGCTTCTACATTTTTATTAGCTCTCCCTTCACCCCCCCCCCAAAAAAGGAAAGAAGGGAACTAATTAGCAAATTCTCCTCCTATGCAGCCTGCTGGAAAGCCACAAAAGCACTGACATTCAGGTAAAAAAGAGATGAGGGAGAAGGGAGGAGATAATGGAGAAGTCACTACTGAAGGGTTCTCTTCAGGGCTACATAAGGTACTCGGACAATCACTTCTTAGCAATTAGCAGGTCACCCAATCATAAGACTGCAGAATTATTTTTGGCACATCAGATGCTCATGAATCTTGCTAAAAGTGCTGTGATCCCATTGGGGTATTAAATATTTATATTTGCAAGCTTTTTAAATACAGAATTTTTACTGTGCCAGAAGGTTGGTTTTTGTTTTTTTTTTGTGTTTGTTTGTTTGTTTTTAACATATATTTCAATAGTGCATTGAATCACAGAATATTAGCAGAGTGGATAATGTTCTAAATCAGCTTAGAAGTGAAAAACTAAATAGATGTAATAAACACATTATTTCCTTATTATTTTCCATATCTCAATCCGCAATATGTAAGCCGGTTTCAAACTAGAGATAAAAATAGCTGCACTGAACAGAGTATATCTTAAGCAGTTCAAGTTGACAGCAAGCACACTTCTTATGAGTAAAGATGGTGAACTGTTTGTTTTTGTTGGTTTTTTTCCCCTTGGGCACTTTTATTCTCATGTTGAATTCTCCAGTGCTGGTACCTGCTGTATTTCTTTCCCTTTGCAGCTCACTGTCACGACAGCAGAGCAAGCTGAATGAGACTCTCTGTTGTCCATTTTCCATGTATTCCCCCTTTGCATGAAGGGTTTGGATCCTCTCCTGTCTCCAAGTCCCTCTCAGTGTGTCCAGGTGAGGTACGTGAGGGAAAACCAGTTGGTTTCTGACACCTGGCAAATCTTTGTTTATGTGTTTTATAAGAAGCTCTTATCATTAACTAAATTAAATGTCTCACAACAACTTTATCAAAAAAGCATATTTCCCAACAACTCTCTACAAACAAAAAAGCAGACCTCTTAGTAAAACCCAGAAAGATGCAACACTGTGTACGAAGTAGCATGATGCCTGTGGCTCTAAGCATACACAAACAAATGTGCTTGTTTGCTCCAAACAAACCTGAAGAAGAAAACTCTTCTTAGTTGGCTCCAACACATGTTGGTGTGACTCAGACATAGACTTTCATGCAGATTTCTGCACAAAGTAATATGAGTGATGTGCACTACATACCACAGCTATTTATTATCAGTCTAGTAGACAACAAAATCATATAACACACACACACACACATACACAAGGAGGATGGCAGAAAAAGTGGGCGCATGCATGTTGCATTCCCCTCTCTGTGTATTGCTAGTACCTTTAAAAATCTGACAAAAGATTCACTTTGTGTTTTACTCGTTTGTTTGTTTTGCAGAGATTTTGCCTGTTTTCTTATTTGGCTTAGAGGTACTTTTTAAAACAAAAGAAAACAAAACCCAACATAAACAATCCACCCAGTCTCTCCCTTCAGGTGTGACCTAGTTCTTAAATTAGGGTCAGCTGAGTTAGCGATGACAGCACCATTGCTTTCTTAGCACTGTAACGTGGCACCACAGCTTCTCAGCTCCCATCAGCCACATTTACTAGCCAAGAGAGAAAATGCTGCCTTTGAGCTGAGTGAGCTCAGTTAATGTACCCTCTTTTCTCCTGGAACTAATGCGTGCAGTCACAGCCAGCCACGCTGAAAAGCATTGAGGGCAGCTCTCCTTGGCTAAGAGTTGACAAGCTCATTAAAGCAGCCGTCCCTGGTAACTTCAGCTAGTTAACTACCCCTGCTCAATGCTCACAGCTAATTATTGGCAAATTATAATTTCAAGGTAATCCAGAAGCTAACTTCTGGCCTACAGTAGACTCCCTCTTTTTCTCTCACAGGGAGTTAACAAATAGCCTTTATTTCACGTTACGTATTTTCACAATTAACTTACAAAATAACATCATATCATTTTATCTTCCAAGTCAGGACACTCTGCATTATCTTACATTTTGATGTCTAAAAAGAACAATTTGGAAAAATGTATCCGAATAAATAGAACATGATTTTCCTGCCTGCATTAATCCACTGTCCCCAGACTCTTTCCAAGAGCTGCCAAGAAAACTAGGTCTGAAGCAAACTAAAGAAAGCTGAAGAACAAAGCAGGAAGAAAGGCAGACTTAGGAATGGTGCACTGCATGGGGATCACATGGACATTGCTTTATTCTTGGTTCGGCTGGAAGTGGGCAGAGGATGAATGCAGGGAGAATGCTTGCTCCTCATCCCAACTGTGTCTTTCAGAAATCTTGTCTGATTTTATGAGCACAGATGTCTGAGGCAGCTAAGTGCAAACATTTAAACTGTAGTATGACAACAATCTTGTACTCTCATCTTAGGCGGAGACTTCACTTTTCCTGTTAAGCAGTGCATAAGGTGTGCTGCAAAAGACAGGCAAAGAAAGCCACCTGAACATACTCTGCCCCATGAAGAATCAGATGAGCAGAAAGGAAAACACAGAAATCCGCACCCACTTTCCCAGTTTCAGGGAGCATATGTTTGCACAGATGCAAATCTAATTGATGTTCTAATTAATGTTAATGGCCTGTAGTCAAAAAAAACAAACTCATAAACGCTGTAATCTAAACTCTGTAAAACACTGTAAACCTCTCTGGCAGTGCAGGTCGCTCTGAAACATCCCCCCAGACTGAGGTTTGAATGAGTTCAGTGAATGGGGGTGGGTTCATGCTCCTGCTCTTTGGTGTCACAGACCGCTCCACCACCTGGTACGGTTCTGCTCCATGAGAGCTCTTTCAGTGGGAGCACCAGGAAAAGGCAGTAAGACCTTTTCCAGGTACGGGGAATCATGATGCATCTCTGCACCCGAGCAACAGCACATTCTAGCTGTTGTAGTGCTAAACAGGTACTGTTAGAAAAAAAAAAATGTATCAGGAAAACTAAAGCAAATACAATCCTCCACTAGGCAGAGGACAAGAGATCAATTTTGCAAGACTGAAGTCAAAGTAGTATGGGAAATTGGACGGATCATAAGGGCACAGGAAGACCAGATCAAATGACAAGGAAAAATTACATTAGAACATCAGCTTGAGAACAACAAACCAAGGGACATGCCTAAAACACAGATTAAAAGCAATCTAAATTGCTGCTGGTATCCACTGTGAAAAACTATGCTTGAGTGTATATTCCTTGGGGATTTAAATCTATGCTATTAATTTCTTCTCTACTTCCACAGGACTTTAATATGAGCAATTTTCTTTTGTTTCCCTTCATGCTTTTCCTTTTTAAAGGTTATATCTGTCTGCAGATAAACATACGAGTAAATCATTACAGCATCTAATAAGGTCTTCTATCACAGGCCACTGAGCAGACTGGTGCCTGTGCCGCAGCATGTAGGTCAC